GGTTTTGACCCAAGGGGTTCTGACTAGGCGGTTTTGACCCAAGGGGTTCTGACTAGGCGGTTTTGACCCAAGGGGTCCTGACCCGGCGGTCCTCCTGCTGACCCTGAAGCTCTGATCCCTGATTCTTCTGCAGACAGGACAGCGGCAGTAACCAGATGGACCTGCAGCAGCAGACCAAGGCTGACTGACCCAACTACTCGTCTCCATCACTAGTTCTGCAGCAGCTGGGGGTCAAAGGTTAGCTACCCGTGAGCAGGGCGTGACGATCAGCGACTCCATGCCGGTGCGGGCGTTGTAGCTCTTCTGCTTGCAGAAGCCGGGGTCGATGACGTAGATGATGCCGTCGATGGTCAGCGAGGTTTCTGCGATGTTGGTGGCCACCACCACCTTGGAGAGGAGGTCAGAGGTCAGAGGCTGAGCCATCCACAGAGACCCCACACACAGAGCTTAGACCGACCTTCCGGGCTCCAGGGGGAGTCGGGCTGAAGATCTTGGCCTGCATGTCGGACGGCAGGTTGGCGTAGATGGGGAGGACGACCAGCTCGGCGATCTTGGACCCCAGCCGCCTGCACCTCTCCTGCAGCATCTCGCAGCACGCCTCGATCTCCTCCTGCAAACAGAGGGCGTCAGGGAGTGGGCGGAGCTAACAGAAACATCCTTCAAAGCAGGAGATCATCATCAGGGTCCTTCATGGCTCTAAATAAAAGCCGATCAGATGGAGGAAGTAGACCATCTTTTCCTCGGTTTCCACTTCCTGGTTGTTTTCCTGCCTCCCTGTTTACATTCTGATCACTGCTGCACTTTATGAATGTTCATTTATGCTAAGCTGCTCGTTCACCGTCTGACAGCTGCAGGCATCCAAATGTCATTTTGTAAACAATCTGTGGACAAATATTACACTAAAGTTTGTCCAAGTCAGACAGCGCCACCTACTGCCAATGCTCCATGAACATTTTCCTGCTCTGTCCATGAACAACAAAGCTGCAGCTGATTAGCTGTAACTATCCCCAAACCTCAGCTCTGTTCAGCCGCCACCTTAAAACCTATTCTATAATTAAACTTGGACTAAAAATCCAACATTTAGTCTGAAGAAAAAGACTGAGGGCTGATCTTTATTATTGCTTTCATTAAAGGTGAGCTTTGAATGTGAAAAATCAGGAGGGAATGTTTTTTTTAGAAATACGCAGCTCATATTCAGATGAGCAACTTTATGAGTGGAGGCAGAGCTGGGTGATAAAATAATAACAATATGTGATGTGAAAGAAGTTATGAGACCGCCGCCATGACGCTGTGACGGACCAATAGGAACAGAACCAGGTCAGATTAGGTTGACCTGTGTCTATGTCTGGGCTGCAGTAGCCAACTCAACAACAACAACAACAAAAAAAAAAAGATGGCTCCTTCTGGAGGGAATCCAACGGAGAACATCGGTAACGTTACGGAAAAGTAGGAGATTGCTGAACGGAAGCGCCCAAACAGTTCGGCAGGAGGAATTTCAGGTGTGGCAGACTGTCGACCCCTTTAGCCAAACCCAGTGCCTGAAGTTAGAGCCCAGTCTGTTCACCCCCGTTACTCTGGTTCCCCTAAATCCAACCCTGGGCCTCCAGCAGACGTTTCCTGTAAACTCTGTGTTCTATAAATGGTACCTGTCCGGTGAGGAAGACCAGAACGTCTCCTGGAGGCTGAGTGACGTGGATCTGCAGCACTGAAACCACACATGCATCCAGGTAGTCCGCCTCTGGAGCCTAAACACAGGGGGGGGATAAGAATAAAACAGTAAAATATCAAAACACACAGAAAAGCATTTGGCATTAAGTCGGTTACAGATGTTCTGGAAACTCTGAG